AGGATAGTTGGAGTGTGCCAGTGTGACAAGAGTCACAGTCTGTTCAAAGGAGCACTTTTTGTGACATTTCCCTCATTTTTTCTTGCCTCTCTATTAATTTTTTGGGGCACTCTATGCCTGTACAATTTTTACATAGCATACTAATCATAGTCTAGAATGTATATAATAGAAAAAAACAAGAAAAATTTTGTATAAAAAATTATACAGAGGGTTCAAAAGGTTGTGTTTAAAGGACTAGTGAATGCCTGTAGGTGTGGTCAAACCTTGTGATTCAGTGTGTGATTCACCTGCATGATTCACTTTCATACAAAGTAAATTGCAGACCCTAGAACCCTAGCAATTCAGGGTGAATTGTGCTGAAAGGTGAATTGCACTTTGACACAATTTGCCTTACAATTCACCCCTGTAATTCACCTCTACTCATATCTATTTCCAAATATGTACATGTATTACAAAAATAAAACTAAGCTTCTTTTCACCTCTAAATTCCAAAAACAGTAAGATGATTTGCCTCTTCCTTGTGAGCACTACAGTATACATACTGTCCTCCATTCTGTAAAAAATCCTTGTGTTCTCTGCTACCAAGCTCTGTCATCTTCTTACACATCACTACACACATATCAAGTCCTTCTTAATATGGCCAAATGTATATGTACAAAAAAAACTATTTCTTTAATTTTATATTATGTAATTTTAAGATCAAGGGTCAGTATATTAAGGTGAATCACACATGTACAAGTGTGCTAGTCAAACCTATAGTTGCTAAAGTCTGGTCCTAGTCCAGTCTGAGTGTACTTCATCTGGACTCAGGACTGGACCAAAATTGTAGTCTGGGAGTGTCCCAGACTGTGGACCAGACCTATGTGGACAGTTACTAGACTGGACCCAAGTTCTAGTCTGGTTTCAGACTATCCATGACCAGACTTGAGAGAACAATTTGAGAGGCATTAGCACATTATTTTTTGTATCTAAGTACATAGATAATATAACTAATTATGAAGCCCCTTATAATAAGTCTTTAAGATTTCTATGGATTCAAATGTTTCAGACAGTAAGCAGTTTCACCTTTTAGTATTAACAAGTCCTGTCTTAAAGGACAGCAATCCAGAGGAAATATTTAAATATACACTCAGGCCTGATCTGGCTTTACATATCAAATGTACTTGTTTGCCACCAGTTTTTACAACTCTCAGCTCTGAATACATTGTACAAACAAAGATCACAATGTACAAAATCCTTACAATTGTCCAGAACAGGTATAGCTTCTCTGTTAAAGGTTTGCAAGTTCACAATACTACTCTTAGCACTAGAGAAATGTCAGACAAGAAGGAAATTAAAGTTGTAATCAAAGAGACTGAAAAGTAAAATGGATGTCAGAATATGTACTACAAATAATTCTGTGCTACAAACAATCACACAAAACATTCAAGTCTGGAGTCCAGTCTGAGTCTGGACTGGTCTATCAGTCTAGGAAATTTCTTAATTTGATGAATGTAGGACTAGACCCCCCTTGGACTCATGAGGACCAGACTGTAGAGGACTGGTCCTCAGGTCCAGTCCTGTGTCTGGACTGAGTCTGCTGGGTTTGGGACCAGACATTAGCAACTATAGTCAAACCTGCACATGTGATTCACCTTGTAATTCACCCTCTAGAATTGTAAGGTGAATTGTGCAGAGAATTGCAAGGTTTGACCATGCCTATTACCAACACAGACAAAGTCATATACACTGTTAGGGTTTATTTTATAGAGTGTATAGCCAAGCA